TCCGAACACCTTTGCGAGCTGATGGCATGAAGCAGGTTGGGTCCCATTTCTGATTGCCTGGTTCGACGGAATTTATTGTTACAGAAATTAAATGCTAAATAATATTGAAGGATCGATGCTATTATGCGCATCTTAGAAGTTGGAGGATAACTGAATTTCGCGAACGATCGAGAAGATTTTATTCCATATCGATTCCGAAATCATGCGTCGTTACAAAATTTATTTTATTTTTTGACTATTCAGTTGTTAGTTGCAACGGCGTTGGCGCCTCGGGTCTGAATTTCGTATTAAAATACGTTACCGCTTAGAATTATATGGTTTCTCTGATCAAAGAATTCCAGATGAAACTAACTGCAGTTAATATTCCAGGGCAATGCATAACTGGGAGACAATGACAGCGTTTCAGTATCGAAGTATCCGGTAGTCAATCTCATCGGAATTTTATGCGTGGAAAAGAAATGATACCTGCGAAATTCCTCTGATTTTTCTTGGGCTCAACGGGTTGTTGGAGAATCCACGTCATGGGTACTGCGAAATGTTTGAATTTTTTGGAAGTTGGAGCCACGCACGAACCGTCAAGACTTCGGCTCGTCAATTAAATCAGGCATCCATTATTTGATTAACGGGATATCAACAATGAACGCCGTCCGTAACCAAGAAAAAATCAAATCAGGTATGAAATAAGGCTCCGATTGAAAATGTTTTTGAAAAAAAAACAATGAATTATTCAGAAAAAACGAAAAATTACTGTAGTTTGGTGACGTGAATTTTATTTCCCAATTATCCGCAAGTTTGATTGGCTTTTCTTTCGTGCATGACTGAGATCCCAAAAAGATCAAAGCGCTCGTCATTTTTTGGCTCAATGATTGGTCAAATTCTTGACAGCTCATTTTGTTAATCATTGATATTCTCGTGTACTGTACTTATCTTTTTCAATACTGAAAACATTATCCTACATATTTCGACTTCTTGATTATGCAAAGTGACGAGCGTGGGCTAGAAGGGACAGCATTTTTCTCAAATTTTGAGTTACAGTACTGTACTTCTGTTTTCTCCAATTCAAGTCGCTTAGAGCATAATTTAAAATTCTTGAATTTATTTTTAGCCACCACGTTCTGAAGACGAACTAGGAAATAATTCGAATAACTCCCGGCAATGAGTGGTTGCAAGCTTTGAACATGCGCCTTGCCAGCAGGAAATTTATTTTTCCAGTTGAATTAGTGGAAATTTCATCGATCGCTATATAAGCGATTCATGTTGAAACGGTCACGTATTTTTATTTTCGCTTCAACATCAAACACAGGATTATTCCAGCATACTTATTTGAAAATCATGAACTACTTCCATGCTTGGTTTATGGTGATTTTAATTTGTCGAAGTATCGTTTTGAGTAGACTGTGTCCTGGGAAAGAATGACATCGATGCAACATCCGGATGCCCTGAAATCGATCGAAACTGGGAAAACGAAGCAGATGAAAATGAACAACATACCAGGCGAACGTCTTCAAATGCTGATGCATCAACATGCAAAGCGAAGCTGTGAGAATCAAAAAGAAGGCTGACGAATTCTTGAAGCTAAAAGTTATTTTCACGGAAATTTCGTTGAAATCGCCGTGAAGAAACCGAACCATTCGATAATCATATCGAGACAGCTTCTTCCTCACGCACTTGCTTGCCTCATCAAAACAAAGAATAGAACAGAAATAGTTCCAAGGTAGTACATGCCCTGAGCTCTTCTTGTGTAAAAACTTGTTTGGTACTAGTGAACCGTTGTATACGACTTGCATATCATGGTTCCGCCAACAGCATCAATATTTAACTAGCAAACTAATTGAAACTGATCAATCTACACTCCGCAATTTTAATCGTCCTATTTCCCAAAGCTTAAGATGTTATTGATTATCAGAGGCATTATATTGTTTGGCAAAATAATTTCGAAGTACAGAATTTTTGCTGCAAGCGTAAATCGTACATAAAGTTAATTTAATTCTTCGGAATCGAAAGAGTTGGTTGATAACGTCCATATGTTGCAGGGATCATTTTCATCTCTTCGTAAACAAAATAAATTTGGATTCTAACTCTCGTACCCGTGTATTGCAAATATTTGTTTGCTGGAACTTTAGACGACATCGTACCAATGATTTTGTTGGTGAGAACTCAGTCCAATGATGAGGTCACCAAATAAAAGGCATCATTGACATTCTTTGTGGTAGCCTATGTCATCTACGCGGTACTAAAAAAATTTCGTTAAAAGCGGTGTTTTTTTACTTTGCTCAAGATATTAAATAATTGACGCCATAAGCCACCGACACCCGTGAACTTGGTGAATCCGTTGCTGCCTCTCTTAATGACGGAATTTGCTCTGCTCTCGAGTCTGTTCTAATCCGGCATTGGACAAATCTTTCCCGGACCCGGCGTTCCAGAAGTTCGGGATCGTTTCGCTGCGAATGTCATTCCAGTAAATCGGAGAGAAATGGCCCTTCTCGTCTGTTAATGGCCTTCCGATGCTTGTTCGAACATATCCCGTTAGTCTTGAAGCTACGGCTTCTTCTCATTCGGGATCGTTTCGCTGCGAATGTCATTCCAGTAAATCGGAGAGAAATGGCCCTTCTCGTCTGTTAATGGCCTTCCGATGCTTGTTCGAACATATCCCGTTAGTCTTGAAGCTACGGCTTCTTCTCTCATTGGGGTCTTACTCCATTTATTATAAATACTCATCAGATGTACATTTTTCACAATCGCCCCTTGCCCTAATGTCGAAGGGGTGGCAAAATTGAATCTACTTAACGGGAACAGCTTTTATGAGCTTCATCGATGGTTTTGTGAATCGTTTCGATAAAATCTGGTTCATGCCTTGAGAAGTACTCAGGTGTGATCCGTCTTTTTTAAATTTCAACGGTTTACCTTGAGTTGCTTTGCCATTCAGAGATGAAAAAACGGACCAGATTGAGAGTATTTTTCGATTAATTTTCATCTTCGGTATTTCCGTACTGTGTAATTTTTATCGGGAAATTTTCCGTACTTGTATTTCAAAACCCGTGTCTTTGAGAAATTATTTTTTAGTTTCAATATCCTATATATAATATAAGACCGTGTGTTCCGAGTAGGGAATTTTTTTTATCACGTATGGATGGGATAGAGTTCATATTATTTACAGAATTATTCGCCATGCTTAAGGAATTGAAATATTTCAATACTAGGGCCTAGTACATTAATTGGAATAAAATTGATTTGCACAGCGTAATTATATTGACGCCAACAGCTGTTCCGCAAAGCAGAATTTCAAAATCTGAACTTGAGTATGCAAGATTGCATTCAAGGAGTTTTTTTAACGCATGTAGATTTTATCCCTTTTCATTGGTAAAATAATAATTTCAATATGATGTCATTCCTTGTTGCTCTTCATACTGCTTGCGCACAATAATGTAGTACTTGCGAGGGAATTTTAAATACTGTACGGAATTCTGAAAATTGATAACAAATGTCTGCTCTAACACCCCTGTTCAGAACATTTTCCCGGATTCGTGAGTTTCTGCATGGTTGATAATTTGTTTACTTCACCGAGATTTCATTTGTTTAAATTGTTCGCGTCGTTGGAAATTTCTCAAAAACGCGTGATTTTTAGCTCTGTATCGGGGGACTGCGATTTGCGTGTATGCAGCACTCGTCGTGTTCGCAGATTTTCCTCGTTGCTCAGTGAATGTTGAAATGTGATGTGAAATATTCATCTTACAGGGAGAAACATCACGCGAAAGCAAAAATGTGATAAAGTTGCTTCAAAAACTGTGCCGNTTCGGGATCGTTTCGCTGCGAATGTCATTCCAGTAAATCGGAGAGAAATGGCCCTTCTCGTCTGTTAATGGCCTTCCGATGCTTGTTCGAACATATCCCGTTAGTCTTGAAGCTACGGCTTCTTCTCCCATTGGGGTCTTACTCCATTTATTATAAATACTCATCAGATGTACATTTTTCACAATCGCCCCCTGCCCTAATGTCGAAGGGGTGGCAAAATTGAATCTACTTAACGGGAACCGCTTTCATGAGCTTCTTCGATGGTTTTGTGAATCGTTTCGATAAAATCTGGTTCATGCCTTGAGAAGTACTCAGGTCTGATCCGTCTTTAAAAAATTTCAACGATTTACCTTGAGTTGCTTTGCAGTTTAGAGATGAAAAAAAACAGACCAGATTGAAAGCATTTTTCGAATAATTTTCATCTTCAGTATTTTCCGAAATGTGTAATTTTCATTGGGAAATTTTCCGTACTTCTATTTTCAAACCTGCGTCTTTGAGAAATTATTTTTAGTTTTAATATCCTATATAATATAAGACCGTGTGTTCCGAGTAGGGAATCTTTCACCATGTATGTGGATGGGATGGAGTTCATATTCTTTAGAGAATTATTCGCCATGTTTAAGGAATTGAAATATTTGTTCTCTTCTCGATATCCTAGTACATTAATTGGAATAAAATTTATTTGCACAGCGTAATTCTATTGACGCGAACAGGTGTTCCGCAAAGCATAATTTCAAAAGCTTAACTTGAGTGTTCAAGATTTCATTCAAGGAGTTTTTTAACGCATATAGATGGTTTCCCTTTTCATCGGTAAAATAATAATTTCAATATGATGTCATTCCTTTTTGCTCTTCATACTGCTTGCGCACAATAATGTAGTACTTGCGAGGGAATTTTAAATACTGTACGGAATTCTGAAAATTGATAACAAATGTCTACTCCAACACCCCTGTTCAGAACATTTTCCCGGATTTGTGAGTTTCTGCAAGGTTGATAATTTGTTTAGTTCACCAAGATTTTATTTGTTTGAACTGTTCGCGTCGTTGGAAATTTCTCAAAAACCTCGTGAATTTTAGCTCTAATAGCCCCCTGACGCTAAACGCACATACGTCGTGAGCAGCACAAGCGTCTAAAAGGAGCAACGAGTCACTTACAACTTTACACTACACTTTATAAGTAGAATGTCCCTCTTTGTAGTGCGCTTTCGTAAAATGTGATAAAGTTGCTTCAAAAACTGTGCCGGTCATGAAAGTGGACAAAAATTGTGAAACGTGCGCGGGCAGACATATTGCAGATCAGTGATTTCGATGGGGGTCGGCGAGGCGGTGAAAAATGGGACTTCGGATGGCAGGACTGACTGGAAAACAGAGAAAAAGGAGCTATTCGGAGTCCAACTCGAGGTGATAAATTTCCCCGAATTTATTGTTTCACAATATCGTCAGTCTTGGTGTTCTGGCATTTTTTCAGGTGACGAGTCTCTTGCTGGAAGCAGAACGAAGACGCTTGATCCTTTTACAAAATGAACTTGGTAATGCCGTGATACTCAACAATAACAATCCGAATGGTTCATCATTCAAAGCCAAAGAAGAAACGCACAAAGAACTAGTGCAGGCGATCTCGTGAGTTATATTCATACTTTTTTTAATGCTCTTCGAAAACTATCATACACTTTCAAGCAATAGTTCTATTAGTTTTCAACTTTTCGAAGGGCTTGCGATGTGATCGGATTTTGGCGATTTTATCATTTTTCGATGAATTTGACCGTGTTTGAATTTTGCTTTACAAATATAGTCCGTACATGAGAGTGGAAAAGCATGGGAATGGTGGCAATTTTTTCCGAGAGATCCTCTTTCCATTTTCGAAATGGAGTCTGAGTCTTCGTTTCGGATTTGGCACTTGTCATTCTTGTATGATAACATTCCAGTACTGTATTTGGTTTCCATTAAAAAAAATCTCCGAATGGGCTTCAGGATTGAGCTTCAACATACAAGCTCCGTGATTGTTCAGACTTTGGGCTTATGTTGAACAGGATAACGATTGACATACTTTTTGAATGATTATTTCGCAGTCGAATTCAGTCTCAGTACGAGCAACTGGAGCAGGAATATAAAATCCACGCACTCGGAGCTCTACGATGCAGCAACACAGGAAAGGTTAGTAAATTTGAGTGACACGACGTTTGTGTTTTCAAATTTTCAGAATTTGTATTGTTTATTTTTCAGAATAAGCGTAGTCAGCCAGCTATCGGGATGAAGATTGCGACGCGGTATCGGGTGAGTGCAATATTTTTCGATTTTATAAGACCGACACCTAGCGACTTCAACGTAGAGTAAAACATGCAAGAAGCCTGACACCCACTAGGTGTCGCTTGTATATGATATTTAGAGCTGCCCGCGTGATGGATATAAAAGCGTTGCGGCTTGCGGGTGGTCAAGTGAACTTCTTGGCTTATGCTCAAATATTTTGGGCATCGCTTGCTTTTTTCAGCGAGTTGCATCATGCATTTGCCTGCATCTCGTTGTGAATAGGGTTTGAAAGGAATTTTACGGTTTAGGGCTGTAAAGCTGGCTGGTTTTTATGGTTTTGCGATGCGTCGTTCAGTGGAGATGATGTCCACACGCACCTTTGACCTGTTGGTTATTTTGTATGCTATATGTTGAAACATGCTTCAAACGATCAGCAAACACGACGTGAGCATCATTTCAGACTGAAACCCGGCGAGACGCTTTCTGCATGTCCCACCCTGAACACATTTCCCGGGATTAGTTCGGATAGTCTTGCGGCAATCACATGGGTTGCATCGCCATCTGGGTCTGACCAAGGGATTGGCATGTTTTCGTCGTTGTTTTGGCCCCATCCCATGGAAAAACGAAAGGCTACTCTCTCGTTGGCCAAAATACTACTCCCACAGGGCCTAACAACGCCCTGTTCCGTTATATTGCAGCCGGGGACGGAACCCATAACACATCGCAGTAAGGCTATTACCTGGGCACTCCTTCGAAGGCAAAAACACATAGTGCCAGAAGGCGATGACTCACACTGCAGGGGGAGGTGTGGGGTTCCACATACTGTACTCCGCGGGTAATTTCCCCGAGGAAGAATTGTTTCATTTCGGGGTTCGATATTCATATTGTGAACCCTTCTGTATCATGTGACCCGAAATTATTGCGTACATGTGAATATGAGCACGGTATATCTGGAGATAATCGCGTGCTGAAATTCGTCTTCCGAAAGAATCATGCATGGTTTGATTCCAATTTTAGGCCTTCAAATAGAAGCCTCTTCCAGGAAAAAACGGATTTTATTTTTCTTAAACATGCTGAACAGGAAGATGCTCACATCCGAAAAGATCCGATCCCCAGAACATGTCGATGTGAAATTCGTCGAGTGTTTGATACCTTGGAACGGTATTCCAGTAATTAATTTGCCCTGTATCTTTTTTTTTTTTTTGCTGTTAATGCGGGACCTATCTTGGATTTAAAACATACTTGTACTTCATTCAAACTAAAACGGAAGAAAAAAGTTGCTCATTGATATTGGAATTATTTACATTTTAAACTGTCCATTTGTAGGTACAGTACAGTTGAACCTGTTTCTCGGTTGTGACCTGGCGAGTTTCTCAGTTAGAAAACCAGCATGCTGAAAAGAAATGAAGTGTAAGAGGAAGATACAATTGGTGATTTTCTGGGCCTTAGACTGCTGGGTAATAATTAAGTTGAGAGGATGCTGAACTTCGAAGTTCAAATTGGGAACATTTACCCAATTTGTCACTCGCTTCCTTATGGAAGGAATCAGGTTACATTTTATTGTTCTTCTCTCTTCCTGGGTCCCTGGGATAACAATCCAAAGGTCGTGAAAACTGGGACATGACCTGAACTGATTTTACGTATAGAATGCATCGCTCTGTCACTTATGCAGCTCATGATATTTATGGTAAGAAAAAAAAAGTTCTCTAAATTGGCTGATTTCGTGACTTATTCACTCCCAGAATGAATAAAACCGCTTCATCGGGAATTTAATGGTACAGTACCTGAGAATCCGTATTATTCTCCAGTTCCGTTTGTTCGGATTTCCATTTAGAAATTTTCTCAGATTTCGTTCGTGTGAAGTCCACGTTTTTCCCAAAGACTTTTCCTTTTATTCCTCGCCGTTGTTTTTTTTTCTAGTCCGGAAGCGCGTATAAAGTGGGTTTCTCGTGGAATCCCTGCATTTCAGAACCTGTGCGTCGAGACTGCGGGGGAATCCTAGGAATCGTCCGTTGAAAGAGCAACCTTTTGCGCGGTGGGTTGTGGTACTCGCCGTCACCCGGCCCGCCCGAGGAAGCTGGTATTTGTCGACGCATTGCCGAAGAAAGCTTTCTCCGACACCTTCCTTTTTTCATTCCCCTGACGTGAGGAATTTCTGTCGCGTTTTTCTCGCCTCTTTCCGCCCCCCAGTGGCGGCTATTTTCGGGCGTAATGCCGGGGATCGACTCTCGGCACGCGCCGCTGAGGCCACGCTATTGCTTCCTGTGTTTTGCGAGCCGCGAGCTTCAGTGTTGTGTGGCCCGTGCATCCTGACCCGGTATGGTTCAAGGGTTCTTTTTTAGCTCCACGCCGTGCATCTTTATATTTTCGCGCGACTCGATGGTGTTTCTGGCGCGAGTTCACTCCATTTCCGCGCGCTTTTTCCTTCCTTGCTGAAAATGGAGACGCACTGACGCATTTGATGATGGAGACCGCAGGTCCTTGAATACAGCTCGTGAAATCGATTCACTGATATATTTCGAAGCTTTCAACCAGGTTTTCCTTGCACCCTATGAATTCCACCTGCGCTTTCCGGGGGCTCTTTGGCTCCTGCATTTGGTGAAGAAAATAGGGTGAACTTATAAATCCGTACACCATTCGACACGGAAAACATGAACTCAAATTCGAATCGGTTTCTGATTTGTTCTTCTTTTCAAAATGTTTTGGTACACGAAAACTTGTGGGTAAATGTGTACAAGCTAAGAGGGTCTAAGGGCGCTGAAAAATATAAAGATCATGAATGAATGAACAGAACACTTTATTTGTTACTTTTCAGCATTCACAATAAGGTTCACTCAAGATTTCCACAACCAAACCCCCGAAATGAAACAATTCTTCCTCGGGGAAATTACCCGCGGAGTACAGTATGTGGAACCCCACACCTCCCCCCTGCAGTGTGAGTCATCGCCTTCTGGCAGATACACAAAAACGGAAGCTTCCTCACGGGTCCATTATCGGAATGACGCTACACAATACCCAAGGCAGGGGCCGACGTTATATTGCCTTGTCCCGCAACAATCCGGGACACCCTCATCATAAAACCGGAACGAGAGAGTAGCCTTTCGTTTTTCCATGGGATGGGGCCAAAACAACGACGAAAACATGCCAATCCCTTGGTCAGACCCAGATGGCGATGCAACCCATGTGATTGCCGCAAGACTATCCGAACTAATCCCGGGAAATGTGTTCAGGGTGGGACATGCAGAAAGCGTCTCGCCGGGTTTCAGTCTGAAATGATGCTCACGTCGTGTTTGCTGATCGTTTGAAGCATGTTTCAACATANCCGGTTTTATGATGAGGGTGTCCCGGATTGTTGCGGGACAAGGCAATATAACGTCGGCCCCTGCCTTGGGTATTGTGTAGCGTCATTCCGATAATGGACCCGTGAGGAAGCTTCCGTTTTTGTGTATCTGCCAGAAGGCGATGACTCACACTGCAGGGGGGAGGTGTGGGGTTCCACATACTGTACTCCGCGGGTAATTTCCCCGAGGAAGAATTGTTTCATTTCGGGGTTCGGTATTCATGTTGTGAACCCTTCTGTATCATGTGGCCCGAAATTATTGCGTGCATGTGAATATGAGCACGGTATATCTGGAGATAATCGCGTGCTGAAATTCGTCTTCCGAAAGAATCATGCATGGTTTGATGTTCAATTTTAGGCCTTCAAATAGAAGCCTCGTCCAGGAAAAAACGGATTTTATTTTTCTTAAACATGCTGAACAGGAAGATGCTCACATCCGAAAAGATCCGAACCCCAGAACATGTCGATGTGAAATTCGTCGAGTGTTTGATACCTTGGAACGGTATTCCAGTAATTAATTTGCCCTGTACCTTTTTTTTTTTCGCTGTTCATGCGGGACCTATCTTGGATTTAAAACATACTTGTACTTCATTCAAACTAAAATGGAAGAAAAAAGTTGCTCTTTGATATTGGAATTATTTACATTTTAAACTGTCAATTTGTAGGTGCAGTACATTTGAACCTGTTCCTCGGTTGTGACTTGTGACTGGGTGAGTTTCTCAGTTAGAAAACCAGCATGAAAAGAAATTACGTGTAAGAGGAAGATAAAATTGGTGATTTTCTGGGCCTTAACTGCTGGGTAATAATTAAGTTGAGAGGATGCTGAAATTCGGAGTTCAAATTGGGAACATTTGCCCAATTTGTCACTCGCTTCCTTTTGGGAGGAATCAGGTTACATTTTATTGTTCTTCTCTCTTCCTGGGTCCCTGGGGTAACAATCAAAAGGTCGTGAAAACTGGGACATGACCTGAACTGATTTTACGTATAGAATGCATCGCTATGTCACTTGTGCAGCTTATGATATTAATGGTAAGAAAAAAAGTTCTCTAAATCGGCTGATTTCGTGACTTATTCACTCCCAGAATGAATAAAACCGCTTCATCGGGAATTAAATGGTACCTAAGAATCCGTATTGTTCTCCAGTTCCGTTTGTTCGGATTTTCATTTAGAAATTTTCGCAGATTTCGTTCGTGTGAAGTCCACGTTTTTCCCGAAGACTTTTCACTTTTTTTTTGCTCGCCGTTGTTTTTTTTTTTTTTTCAGTCCGGAAGCGCGTATAAAGTGGGTTTAAGCAGGAAAGCACAAATTGCTAACAAAAATAAAAGAAAATACAATACAACATGAAATACAACTGGAAATCTGACATGTATGCATACACCCATTCATTCCCTGACATTGGTAACAATATATATGTAAAAATTAATTTAAAGTGCAAGGTCTTCAGCTTGTTTCTGTATCAGGTTTAGTTGAATGAACAAATTACAGAGAATCTTTGATGAGAAATCATATAAAGCCAACAATTTATCTTGATCCTTATAAGATTTCAGAAAGGGTCTCTTCATTGAATTCCTGTACTTGTAAATCTATCTTAAGCTTGTTTCTATCAGTATGAAATTCTGGACATGAGAAGAAAATGTGCTCTGGTGATGCGCAAACTAATGTATTTATGCTGCAGGTGTTACACCACTTAGACACTTTTGAAAATTGGATGAATTTTTTGCTGAAGTGCCATGAATTTGTCAAAATAGCTACAGTATCATGTATCAGGATACCCACAAAACCTATTCTTAAACAGCATGAAAAATTATAGGGTACATTGGGTATGATTGAAAAATCGGACTATTCAATATAAATTGCTCTTGGAGAAAAGCGCTGTGAGTCGAAACAGTCGGGAACTTTTACTTCGAAGAACTATATTCTGTACTGGTTTTCTTGCAAACCCTTCCTACCAACATTTTTTGAGGGGGGAAATCGAGTGGGTGTCAAATACGAACCCATGGTTCTGTTGGTTAATGAGAATTTTTTGTCGCTGCTTCGCGTCTCTCGTTAATGGGCGTGAGTAAATGAGGCGGTTCATTATAATTGGGCGTCGTTTGATTTACTATGTTGGAAAGTGCGCCAGTTGATGAGCGATGATTTTAGCCGAGTTTCCCGGGATTTCAGAGCATTAATACCTGATACGCGCTGACAGGACCGGACAGTTGACATCTTTCGTAACGACTGGAGAGCCTATTCTCCAGGGGAGGAGGGAAAGACGGAACGCTGCGTCAGAAATGTCCATTTGCCATTCTCGCGGTGCTTCCTCTCGCACAGATTTTTAGCGCAGGGAATACTTCTGAAGAAAATGGGAATTCCGCGGCGTCATTCTTGAGAGAGTACTCGTGTCTGCTTTTCGGTTGGCTGCCGACAGGTGCGCCTCGTCTGGCGGACGTGCGCGACGAGCGCACTATGCAAGGACTCGAATGCGCGGGGTTTGGCAAACTGATTTCGCGGTGCAATGAAAAACGCGCGAAATTTTCAGAAACTCTCTTTGTTTTATTTTTCTCGCAGAGGCGTCGCGTCGCGTCGAGAATTCTGCGGCTTGACGTCGTGGTATTCACGTGGCGAGAGAGGGGGAGAGAGGGATTATTCGGGTGTGACAGATAAGGAAAAGCTTCTGGGCAGTCGAAGCGAACAAACTTTACAGTTTCTCATTTCTTTATCTAGGGTTTTCCGCGAAAGTAATATCAAATGTTTTTCGAGTTGCCTTCTGGAAACATTAAACGTTTTGTGTGGAGGAAAAAGGATTAAACGTGATTGAGTGGTCATCAACGACAAACTACTACAATGCACTATTTTTAACGCACAGCATTATCCAATCGTTCCCAGTACATAACAATGATATCTTGCTGATGCAGAAACTTTGTAAAGCAAAAAAATAATACATAAATACATGAAAAACAAAATACATAAATTGGATAAAAAAAAATTATGTGCGAGATTTCTCTTTCTCGAAGCAAGAGCTTGTTGAGAAGCAGTTGCTTGTTCGTCTGAGCAACCAAATAAACATGGATTATTTATTGAGCTATATTAAATTGATCGGAAAACACGGTCAATAATGGCTATCATGAAAGTGCGAATCTAATCCTTGATCAGTGCATTCTAATGCTGAGCTTTGGGTAAATTAGGTTTAGCTTGGGTTACTTGGACGAGTTTCTGTGTGAAATCAGTAACTCGGACAATTCAGTTGATGTCTGTAAGTCATTCTTTTGAAAAAAAAGAGTAGAACAATCTCCCCAAGCAGATACGGTAAAACATCAATTGTCAGCTGAAAAATTTGCGATAGTTTAAATCAAGCGACGAAAAAGTCCTGACGGAGCTACATTAACTTGAGAATAATATCTTGTTCTGCAGCAAGTTTCCTTTACAAGATTGAAAAATAGATTTCTTATAAAGCTTTGAAAAATTGAGATTTTTAGCTTATTATGATCGAAGCATTTTTGGAGTGGTGTTTCAGCTTATTTGTTTCAAGGACTGCATGCACCCTGCCAATTCGGATTATCTTTTAATCCGAATGACTTACTGTAAGATGCATTCACAATCACAGTGCTCCTCAGCTCGAGCTGGATATTAAGGTCAGAATTAAAATTAAAATTAATGATTTTAGTTCTGTAGTATAACGGTGTCACGCGGAGTGTTCCTTCATATTTTTGTTTATTTCCGTTAAAGTCAGCCTGTGTCGGAGATTCAATGAAAAATTACTCCGAAAGTACTGTAGTAAGCACTCGGGTCCTTGGGTCCCTTTTTAGCTGTGTACAATATCGTCCGGATGCTCATCACGTCGCAGTCCATTTACGGGCAGTCCGCAGAAGTCGACATGACATCCGAGCCGTGTCCGAGGCTTAATTGCAGCAGCAGGTGGCTAATTATGTTCCAGGTCCTTGCGCTTAACTGGGTAATGGATTCTTTGTCTGATTCTCTCTTGTGTTGACGGGTCAGGCGAAGCGAGACCGATGAGACGAGCTCATCAGTAAATAACTGGGTGTATTATTTCGTCCGGAAAAAGAGGTTTCAATTGCTGTTTGTAACGGCTACGAAAATTCCTGTTTTCATGTTACCATGTATAAGAACAAACGCCCATTGGAATTAATTGTGAAAGAAAACAGATTCTAGTGTCGCTGAAAAAGCTTGAATGACATTATCCGTTCCACGTTGATTCAAACAATTTAATTTTCTCCGGAGGCATTTGATGAAACCATTTTTCCCACTGACTATCTGAAATCGTTCACGGTTTTCATCAGCTAATCTAGATTGCTGCAAACTTACATCATAATGCTTTAGAAAACTTCGTAACTGCAAAATTCACGAGAGAAGCAATAATGCGTTGCATAAATTTGACGATTACAATATTATGTCGAGGAACCTCACAAATTTTACCTGACCATTCCATCTACAGCACTTTTGTTGTAAATTTTCAAATATCCAAGCATCAGCAGTAATTTTTATCCCTGATAGATTCTCTTAATTTCAGCAAGGCTCTTTCCCCTTTAAAAGCAGATACACAGTATGAGGTTCAAAGTGTCGAAGTTGGGTTCAGTGCTCGAATGTGAAAACCCTTGAAGCAAAAGCCACTTGAATTAGCAAGAGAACCCTCAGAATATTCGATTGCACATTATCCTGAATGGGTTTGCTCCCATGAGACATTTGGACGCTCAATTTATCGAAACTATGGAATATCATGGGTTTTGGGTGTGCATGACTTCAGTTGGCCATGATGTTCATCTAAATAACTCCGTGAAAGGAAAAACTCGGATTTTTATTTTTCTGCAAAATCAGAAAGCAGCGAGAAGTGCCATTTTGAAAGTTTTGGATTATCTAAAAACGAAATGCATTGCAAGGAGGAGGAGAACGAAGTTTTAGCTGCTTAGAAACAAAACTGAATGCAAAGATGTAACTTTCTCAACGAATATCTTTCTCTAAATAAAACTGTGAATTTTAGAAATCAGAAGACCTTATGTGAAATGCTCCTTGAAAATATATTTCCTGCGCGGAGAAATCAGGGTTTCCGTGTCCCAAGTACATTTCAGGATAGATGACTAGGAATATCCCAAGTCGGCTCGCATAAGTTTTCTCATTTCGACGACTTGCAGCGAGTTCTTGAAATTTCATCCCGCGCTTACGTCCATTAAATAAACTTCGAAGATTGTTCACGTCCCAGTGAACCTGGGTTCCAGTGGTGGGGAAGTCATTAGGGAAAACGACCCACGGCCCGTGAAAAATGCTGGCGTCGCCAGAACGAGGCCTGTCGCTTTGGTTGAAAGAGCTTCATGCTGCCTCGAGGTCGGGCTGGCCATCATCACGCCAATTTTTTCAGCCAACAAAACGTCGACGTGATAGATTGCCTCGCCAGCGCTTTTTCGCGCTCTACTCGAAATTCCTTGGTAACTAGACCGATGTCAAGGTGTGAAACAGTACTGGAACTTTCGAATGGATTATTTCCGTGGTGTAGATTCAACGCGTGGAGCTCCATTTTCCCGGAGGTGAGACAGGCAAAATGAGCAGGAAACGTCCAAATGCCATCTTGGCAATCGTTCGAAGTGCACTCCCAGCGTGCTTATTTTTATTTATCTCGAGGAATGCTGACTTTCGAAGAAATTCTCGAACGAAACGGATTGAAGACAGCTGCATTTGGAAAAAACGTTCAATTGAAAATAATATTCCGAAAACGGTGCGCAATCAGTCGTTGGAGGGAAAATTTTTAGAGGAATTTCATGAATTCAATTTGTATACGCTGTTGAGTCATGACGAGATAGCGACATAAAACACTCTTCAAAGTAAAATTGCCAAAATCGTACCGTTTCCAAATTCAAATTACATGTGCAAATGGATGTTTGACTCGTCGTGGAAGAGTACGAAAATAAAGGCACTTGGGATTTAGTATTTACTCCATTTTATTGTCCTCAGATGTAATTTCGTGGAGCGTACCGTTTTCATAATCTAATAATTCGGCACTCTTGGAATGGCACTGGCCGATAATTAAATCAAACAGCTGCTGAATCCATATCATTTTGCCTTGAATGGCAACGTATAATATTTTCGAAAATGTAGTTCAATCTTCAAGAGTCGGGCTGTGCTGTAGGATTGTTGAAAAATACTCGTTTATTCATTGAGCAATGGACAAAATCATCAACGAAGATGCTTGTACAAAAAATTGTTTTAGGCTATTGTTGCCAGAATAATAGGGCCATGCTCAAGAATCGGGATATGGTGAAACGTACTGTACGTACATTACTTATTAAATTTCTTCATTAGCTGGCGTTACATAAAATCATCAATGAAATAAATCAATTTGTGTTAGTACTGTTGACATGGAAGGTTCATCCTTAAGAATCCGAGTGTGCCGTGAACTTGTTAAGAAGTATTTATTTCTCCGTTGGGCATTAAATTGAATCGTCAAGAAATCCTCCGTAGATTTTTTTTCGTTCACGACAAAAATATTATTCTTGACATGGCGGGTTCATCATCAAGAGTCAGGGTGTGCCTTGGGTTTGTTAAAACGTACATATTTCTTCATTACGAATTGGATACAAATCATCAATGAATAAAATCAATTCGGGTTATTCTTGACATGGCAGGTTCATACTTGAGAATCGGAGCGTTCCGTGAAATTTTTAAAAGTACTTATTTCTCCATGGGGCATTAAATTAAATCGTCAAGGAATCCACCGTTGTTATCTTTTTCATTTAAAATAAACGGATTATTCTTGACCTGGTAGGTTCATCAAGAGTCGGGGTGTGCCTTGGGTTTGTTAAAACGTATTTCTTCGTTAGGGATTATATAAAAATCAGCAATGAATAAAATCAATTTGGTTTACACTTGCAATGACAGGTTAATCCGATTCTTAATCCTTCGGAATCGGAGTGTGCCGTGAACTTGTTAAGATTTATTTATTTCTCCATTGGGCATTACATTAAATCGTCGAGGAATCCTCAGTGGATTTTTTTTTATTCACTACAAAAAGGCTTAGTCTTGACACCGTGGGTTCATCATCAAGAATCGGGGTGTGTCTTGGGTTCGTTAAAATGTACTCATTTCTTCATTAAGCGTTAGATTAAATCATCAATGGATCCGTGGCGCGACGTGCCGAGAATTGGGCTATAACAAATTCCCCGAGGCGCCCCGCCGTCAACTTGCATTTGTATCCATTATGGCCAAGAAGGAATGAACCATGCCGGTCATGGACCTCACGACCAAGTCGCAGTACCAAGTAGACATGACCATGCGCTTCACGAATTCGTCGTCTCGATGCGGAAAAGTGCGGCTAGCCAGGAAAACAAAATCATTAATCACCCCTCGGGCTTCGAGTGGCTGTGCTCACTGTTGATGATGAATGAAAGTATCTGTAGGGTTTAAGTGCCACAATGAATCAACACTTCCGCGCTCTCTCCGACGCCCCCAGGGACGCCGGATTTTTCCACGTCCGAAACCGGCGCCCCCTTTTGCAGCCACGTGGAACACCCGTTGCCCGGGTTTCCCAGTGGGTATGAGCCCGTTCACGCGCGCATGCCACGGAATTATGATCATTTCTCAGGGCAAGGGAATGCTCGTAATTTCATTTCACATGCGTGAACCGGAGCTCACCCTCGTTAGTTCAAGCCATGCATGCAAAATTAGGGCATTAGTTTGGACCCGGAACAGAGATTTCTTAAAGTTAGTCTTCATAACCCCATTTACATAAATGTGAGACAGTCTATTCTGATTTTTGCCTCTCTTTTCGTCTCTCTTTCGCGAGGAAAATTCCACAATTCGTCGACGTCCCGACATTAGTAATCTTTCAAATTATTTATATCTCATCAACCCATGGAATATATTTAAACAAACAAGTATGGCACAAGGTTTTTAAATTGATATTGAATAAAAAAATGAATTCAGGAGGTTAGTGCTTGCGAGTGCATATGTGAGGACTTTTTTTATTTCAGGAGTGCATGGAATAGTCATTTGGTTTTCACGAGCCTCGGCTTTTGCAGTAATTTTTGCACTTCACAGGATGAAATTTCGCAAGCAAGACATGAAAAGGTTGTCTTTTTGTCATGCGTCATAATTTATTGTGTTGTACTCTGACTTGTTTTGATTTGAAAACTTACAAACGGTTCGGTCCCTCAAGATGACAATTGGGGTCCATTTTAAAGCAAGTGAATCTGTTTATTTTGGATTCACGGGCGAACATCTTAATTTTTTTCTGTGAGGGTTGAAAAATTGACGAGAATTATACTGGATAAATAGCCTTATTTTATATTCCGCGAGCACGATAGTGGTTGAATTCCAAAAGGAATGCCCTGAATCGTGGCAGACATTTTTAGTCGCTAGTGTTTCTGAAACACGTTCCAAGAAACGTCCTTGAGTATGGGCCAATGAATTGTTGCCTGGTTCGTTAACCAGGGAAGCTGGGAAAGGTGAGCTGAAGCGTGTGAGAAGATGCACCTCGTTTGTATGCGACGAAGGTTTAAATACACCCATCTCTTTTACACCCAGCTCTTGACATTTACGATGACGCAAAACCCTGGTTCTGTTCCCCCGGAATTTACTGGCTTGCTGATAATCCATTAGAACGTGGCGTGAAACACGGCATTAGCCGAGTTACGACCCCGGACAGGGAAACTGTTTCGTTTCTTTCCCTCGTGTCTTGTTTCCTGGCTGTCGGTTTGGGAGGGGGGTTCGGTCGGGATTTTGGACCCCACTGTACCCTGCAAGGCGGACAAAGACCCTGACGGGATTTCGTAGTGAAGCCCGTGGGAAAGGAACCGGCACAGTAAGAAAAACGTGACCCTTCGCGCAAGCGGGTTTTCTGGGGTTCGCAGAGAAGCTTTTGCTTTGTCGACGACCGCGATCCTTGTGCTTCAGTAAATACCGTACATACCTTTTACTTGAACATGTCTGATGCTGTATTGTGTTCTTCATCTTACTAAACATGTCTTACCAATGTTTTCACGTTGATGTGCCTGAAAAAATAATTATCAAGAGGGATAATTTGAGTTGGGCACGTTTTCCAAGTTTTTCGCGACTTAGGTACAATGGTGTCTCCAGCAAATACCTTTTTAAAGCGAACAGTAACACCAAATCAGAATTTGTATGCCAACAAACCCTTCACGAAGTAAATCATGTTTTTTATCATGAACTGCATCGTGTGTAAAAATTTAAATGCACGCATCTGTCAATAAGATTTATCCATGCGTCTATATAGCAAAGAATATGCCAAACATCAAATCACATTCAAGAAAGATTTGTTTTGATTTGTTGAGGCACGGATTTATTTTATTTAGTGATTTTTACATTATGACGGTATAGTGAGGTAACTTCAACGCAAGGTTAAATTTTTACACTGTACATTACTCACAGCTGGGGAACAATGAAATAGTCACGAGGGAAATGCAGTGATTTATATTGCTTTGTAATCGAAAATGCCGCTGGATCGAATGCAAAAAGTACTGTTTTTAAGATGCGTCAGTTTCAGTTGTAAGGATTAATTTCATTTACTCTGGGTTTATTAATACACTTCCCTAATTATACGTAAAAATTGTTGTTCTATATATTTACTTTTCACACCGAACAGATAAGATCACGGGATGTGATCTGTTTGGTACCTCGAAGAACAAATTTAAAATTTCCAGAATCCAGTATTTTATTAAGGGACACTATAAGTGACTTTATCACCTACGTGACGAGGAAAGGGCTGCAATGCTTTGTCTTATTATTTTATATTTTTTAAATATGTAGTCTCAAAAAGTTTATCAAGAGCTTCCTGAAATAAACCTTGGGTTTTGTGGAATTTACAGTATATTGTCGTCGTTGTCCGAAGCGCAGTAATGAAGAAATATCCCACTTATGCATTTTCCTTTTATTCGCGTTAGGTTGCGTGCTAGTTAAGTTCCACCACAAATTGGTAAAGAAAATGCTTTCGCGTGAACCGCAAATGCCGGTTGAAGGATTGGTCACATTCCTCTGATTGTGAACCACAGCAAAGGGTGTCTTATAATTCCCCACCATGGTTTTGATTTATTGGTTTGCGGGGAAATTCGTGTTTGAGTAAAAGCGTTTTGGGTCTTGGACGTGGTTGAATTCCTTTATCAGCTCTTCCTTGCTTGACCTGCCCTACCCAACTCTTGAGTTCAATGGAGAAAGGGAATCATTTATAACAGTCCGAGGATTTTTGCAATTACTACGGATTACGCATAAACTTCAGAAGACTCTTCTCTCTCTCTCTCTCTCTCTCTCTCTCTCTCTCTCTCTCTCTCTCTCTCAAAAATAGGTACCATTTTTACCTAAAAACCTCATTTCGTTCTATGGTGTATGACCGAAAAATTTACACAAGGAATCCAATAGAAAGTTTGGAGATT